TGACTATATATAAAGTAATTTTCCCACGGCACACCTTACACTATGTCACGGCACACTAGTGTGCCGCGGCACAGTGGTTGAAAAACACTGACCTATGGAACCATGTTCTCCCCATCACATTGGCTTGTCCCACCTGGTCAGGCAGGGGAGGCATGCTGCAGACCCCATCAGTCAAAGGATTCTGGGTCTAGGAAGAGGACATTCTCTGCCGCTGCCCACGCATTATGGGACCTCTGGCCCCAAGAGCTGAGGAAAGCCTTCAATCTCCTGGCCTTCCACAAAGGGGCTTTGGGGGGCACAGGAGACCACCCAACTGTCGGGCTGCCTGGCCCCAAGAGAAATAAACAACCCCCGACCCCACCCCCATATTAACTAATGCTAAATGTCCATCTTGAATTTTTTACCTTTTTGAAACATTACGTTTTTATAATTTTTAATCTTAAATTAATGTTAATGTTGATTTTATACATTGTTTGTGTATTGATTGTATAGATCATACCCAGAACACCTCTCTGGGGAAGATGGGCAGTTTAGAAATAGGAAATATAAATCAAGCAAGCAAGCAAGCAAGCAGACCGAGCCCAAGTTACCTATCTTGCATGTTATCCCTCTTTCCCTTATTATTTTTTTAAATAGCCTTTAAAATTTATTTCAATTTATATAGTTGCCCGTCTCACTTACATAGATACCGGGCAGCATATGAGTTAAAACGAAAAAGACAAACCCCCATAATCAAAAGTAAATAATTAAAATAACCAGAAATGTAACAGAATAAGAACTGTAACTGTGGGGCTGGCTGGGGTCTTGAAAGTCCTCCCTTTAATCTCTTGCCCCTCTTACAGTTTTTAGATTTTATATATACCTTTTTATAGATAGTGGGAGGGAGGGATGATCTGGATGCAAGAACAGCAGGGCAACTGCAACACTTACCTTTGTTGGGTTTTGGAATAATGATCAATCTTGTCTTCAACTAACACAATGAAAGTGAAATTGCCTGCAATTTGTGGAATTCACTTCACTTTCAAGATAGATACTGCTCTTTTCTGAAAAGAAGCATAATCTTTCAGTCTTCATTTGTTAATAAATGATTCTTTTAAGATACAATTCTTGAAATACATTGGAAATGTAGACAAGTATGGTGAGCTACAAATAAGCCTTTTGTAAATCAGAGTGATTTTATTCCTTTTATTCCTTAGATGTGATACAATAATAAATGTTTATGACAAAGAATCTTCTATGATTTAGCATTCTTCGAATGGTTTTTAAATATGTATATATTTCTGGACCTGGATAGGATGCAGAAAATGCAATTCAACAAATGGGGGGACAGTGGCTTGGTGGAAGACAAATCAGGACTAATTGGGCAACACGCAAACCTCCAGCTCCAAAGAGTACATACGAATGTGAGTAGCCTTCAAAATAAACCAGACATTTCCAGCTATAAGAAAGAAGCTTTTCTAAATCCAAAGGGACTTTCCTTCGCTAAGGATAATGGTATCTGATTAATGGGCTGTTGCTGGGGCTGAACAATTTAATTCTCTACATTTTCAGAATAGGCCTTGAATTCTTACCACTCTTAGATTGTGAACTAAATATTTCAGAGATTGAAATTAATGTCATTTACAGTTAATTATAAAAGAAAATCAAACCCCAACTGCCCTTTGGAAGGGCAGAGATTGAAGCTCAAATATTTTGACGACTAAATGAGAAGAGGGTACTCATTGGAAAAGATCTTGGGAGTGGGGGAGACTGAAGGCAAGGAGAAGAGGAGGGCAGAGGAGGAGAGGCTTAGAGAGGGGCATCGATGCAACAAACGCACATTTGTGCAAAGTGGGGTGGGGGGGCTGGCTTGCTGTGGTCCATGGAGTTGCGAAGAGTCGGACATGACTCAGCGACTGAACAGCAACAAAAAGAAAATCCTTATGATAGAAAGGGATAGTTTTGGAAAATAGTTTTCCAAATGTCATTTCTTGTGTTTCATTATAGCCAATATTTTAGACAATTTTTGTTTTATTGCAAAACACCTTTGTGGTTTTTTTATCTAGCAAATGCCAAACAACTCTCCTACGATGATGTTGTAAATCAGTCCAGTCCAAGCAACTGCACTGTGTATTGCGGTGGCGTAACTTCAGGTCTGACAGGTAGGATATGCCATCAGTTTAGAGTGACCTTGTGGAAGACAGTTGAGGTGCACATTCTGAAATCTTTTTGATCTTCTTGTTTGCAGAACAGCTAATGCGCCAGACATTTTCTCCATTTGGGCAGATAATGGAAATTCGAGTCTTTCCAGATAAAGGGTACTCCTTTGTACGGTATGAAAACATTTCTCTTGCACACCCTATTTGTGTTTTCAGAAGTTTTATAAAACCTTCTCCAGCTAGACTTCAACTAATATGCAAATTCACATTCATAAGTGATTTGCAGAGAAACAGGTATATGTTCCTGTGTGTAAAATATTTTTAGTACAAAGTTTCATTCACATTTGAAAAACGCAGCTGAGCGGAGGCTTTGGCAAGCACTATAAGCACTTTGACCAGTATGAAGGAGTTGGCTGGAAGGAGCCCTGGACCACAGCATGGCCGCCCAGATGGCTCCATCAAGGCAAATGCTGTGGTTCCCTTGTTTCAGCAAAAGGGGTGATGTTGCCTTTGGAAAAGCAGATCTCTTTCTTCACCCAGTCGTAGAAACAACTCTCTATTTTATTCTATTCTTACATCCAATTAAGTCACTTGGGTCACCAATTAAGCTTGGTCTACCACCTCCTTATTCTAGATTGATGTTTCACAACGTCAGTAACTTTGTAACATGTGGACATCAGCTCCCAAACATCCCCATCCAGTATCTTGGATGTCCACAAATCTTAAAAGTTCTGAGGTTGAGGAACATCAATCTTGAATATTTCCATCGTAGCCTATATCTGTCTACAAAACTACGAAGAGAAAGAAGAGGAAGGAAAGCAAACCCTGAAAAGGTTTGAGAAAGAAAAGGAGATATCTTGATACTGAGCTGGAAAAGTGAAGTGCAGACATTTTCTTCTTTCAGATAAAAAGGCTTTCCAAGAGTCCATATTAATCTAAAAGCTCACTGTGACACCAGATACTTGTTAAAATAAGTCTGTTGTATTTTCTACTTAAAGTACTGTATTCAGTATTTTAGAAGTCTCATAGAATAACAGAGATTAGGGAAACCTAGAGGTCTTCTAGTCCAACCCCCTGCTCAAGCAGGCGACCATATACCGTTACAATCAAATAGCTGCCCAGGCCCTTCTTAAAAACCTCCAGTGATGGAGCACCCACACAAAACTTCTGAAGGCGAGCTGTCCCAATGATGTCACTGTCCGGAAATTTCTGTCAAACATACTTTGCTCTTTCGAGACCACATGACCCCCTTGATAGGTTGTCCGGTCTACAAATTTCTGGTTCCATTCCTCTGAGTAGTGAGTCTTTTGCATTTGATCCAGATGTTATAGCTGTTAAAATCAGAGCATCGGAAGGATCAAATAAAGTAAAACAAGTATTTTTGTCATGATGCTGTGTGACTGAGTATTCTTCAGACTTACGTTCTGCCGGATTGGCCGAGCTCTCAGCGGCAGCTCCAAACGACATTTGCATGGCCAGGGAAGGATGGCCAGAGAGGACGGTGGCAGGCAAGCCTTTGTTGCCGATCCCGGCAGGCGGAGAGACCTGCGCGTGCATCTGGAGACGCTGGCTGGTTGGCTGCGGATGGTAGACCTGGAGAATGAGGTTCCTCCACTTCCTCCAAGATACAGGTTCCCGGATTTGCTACTGGGAGATCAGGGAGGCAGAACGACGAGAGATGTTCCTTCTGCAATTGTTTATTGTAACAATTGGCTACGCTGACTTAATGTCTCAAAAAGAAAGCAGATCTTATTGTTTTGATTCTTATACAAGTTTGGCAGGAAAAACCAAGACTCATTGACATTTAGAAAAATGCTGTCAGTTCCCAGACAGAGACAAGCCAGGAAGAGAAGCCGGCCTGGACAGCTCCGAGAGTCCGGTCTCGCAGAACAAAATAGAGGGGATTCGGTGAGGCAGCTCATGTGGGACAATATTGCTTCTGGAAGAGCTGTTCTCAGAAAACGCTACCGATCCTGCAACTATCCCACCAGCTCCGGTCGCCATCTTACCGGCTCTAGTCGTCGCGATTGCCATTTGGGGCACCGACCTGGCTTTGTCGTGTCGGAGGAACCACCGGTTCATCGCTGTCCCATCTGTCGCTGTTCCATCTCTCTCCAGCCACCGTTCCATCTGCTTTGGTCTGTTTTGGTCATCGTAGCTGGCCCTGCTGCGCTGGGGCGGCTGCCAACCTGCCACCGCCCCGCCTGCTCCAGTCGCTGCAGCCGCCGCTCTATTTGTTTGAGCCGCTGCTTCTTGGCCTGCAGCTCGGAGGAGACCACCGACCTGCCGACCGATGTTTCATTCGCTCCAGCCATCGACCTGCCCCTGCTGTCTTAGGGGGCAGCCAACTTGCCGCTGTTTTGCCCACCTGGCCACCGCAACTGCCGGCCCATCGCCGCCGGCCCGGCTTTGCCGCTTGGGGGGGGGAGCGCTGGATCATGCCACTGTGCCTGCCCTGCTGCCCATCGAGCCTTGGAGCTGCAGAAGCCTGCGTTGGTGTGACCTGGGGCTGGGCGGCTGGCCTTTCTGCTGCCGCCATTCCATCTTGGATGCAGCTCCCCTTCCCTCCCTCCTCTTCTTCTTCACTGTGGCGTTGGTTTGGACATCATTGCCACTGGTCGTTTCGATCAGTGTGCGCCCTTCTTTCGTCGCCGCCCCGGGAGGACAGGGTCGAAGAGACTGGGAACTTGCTCCTTTCAACCAGCACCAGCCTTTCCAGTCCCCTCAGACTTTACCATCTTTTCCCAGACTGCGTGGGGGAAGATTGAGGAGTCCCCCCCCCCCAATTTGCGCTAACCTAAGAATCTGCATTTTAACTTGTGTGTTGAGTGTATGATAGTATGATTGTGAGAATGAATGCGCCCACTTTTAAATTAATTAATTAATTATTTTTATTGTTGTTCTGTATTATAACGATTATTGTGGGGTGTGTTTGTGTGGAAATGCCTGTTGAGTGAAAGTGATGGGACTGGGGGTGCGACCTGGAGCCCCCTNTCAAGGTTGACTCAGCCTTCCATCCTTCCACGGTGGGTAAAATTAGGACCCAGATTGTTGGGAGCAATATGTTGACTCTGTAAACCACTTAGAGAAGGCTGTAAAGCACTATGAAGCGGAAGATAAGTCTAAGTGCTATTGCTATCAGAATCTTGAAAGGCTTCTCCCCTCCTTTATTTTTATTGCCCCAAAAACAAGAGTGAGTTCCTCCTAAGATGCTTCCCATGCCCCTTTTACTTCTGTGGTCTGAGCTTCCTTTTGCTGCCCACCTGTCTCCCAAGATCAATTTGACAAACATGGCAACTATTATGTCTCTCCACCAGCTCTGACCCCCTGCAGACACTTTGCAAGAATATCTTAATACTTTGTCCCAAAGGTGCTTTTTAAAAGAGAACTGGACTTTCTTGATATTTTTTTCCTTGAAAACATTTTATTTCTCATCAAAGAAGCTTCTTCAGTTCTAACTAAATGGTAGGGAACGGAAGTTCTTCAGTCAGAACTGAAGCAGCTTCTAGGATGAGAAGTGAAATGTTTTCAAGGAAAAGAACAAGAAAGTCCAGCTGCCTTTTGAAAACCACCTTTGGGATAAATACCACTTGGGTGATTGAGAATCTCATAAACACTTTGGGAGGGGGACTGGCAGAGGAAGGGCAATGAAAACCAACTTAAACTCCTGAAAGAAAGGCAGGCTACAGATCTAATGAAGAAAATGAGATGTTCTCAAAAGTCCAAAGACAATCCTACAGATGGAAGCTAATTGAGGAGATAAGCAATCGAGAACTAAGGAGAAATTTCCTAACAGTGAGAACAATTAACCAGTGGAATGGTTTGTTTTCAGAAGTTGTGGGTGTTCCATCATCAGAGGCTTTTAAAAGCGACTAGACAGTCACTTGTGTGGAATTGTTATAGGGTCTTCTGCTTGAGCAGGAGGTTGGACTAGAAGATCTCCAAGGTCCCTTCCAACTCTGTTATTCTGTTTCTGATCCTTTGTTAAATTCGGGACACTGGCTGTTGTTTGTTTTTTGTCTGGGAATTGTCAAGTGGGACAAGGAGTAAGGATCTCAGGGAAACTTTGGGAGGTAGCTGAATAACATTAAAATGTAATGAAGTAGTATAGGAAAATCCAGCTGAATCAGCTGAGGGTGTGGAGGCATTTAATGGAAAATGTAATCCCTACTCAAAAATGCAACTTTGCTTAGAAACCAGTAAAACTGCATTTGCCTTAAATACACTCACCCCTTAAAAATGCTCTCTTGAGGCCTCTCTCTTTCACCTCAGCCTGAGGACATTTTGTTTTTTTCTCCATGCTAAAGAATTCTTCCTTCCAGGATAACAAAGGTCAGTGATAATTGATATTGAGATAAATATCTATTCATTGCTTAAGAGCTATTATCTTTTAAAGCATCTGATTAAAGTAGCATCAAGTCATTAAAATCCTTTTTGCATTTAAGTATTCCCTGACAAAGGAATGGTTTCTTGTTTAATATGCTAATACAGAGGTCAAGAGATGCCATTCAAAACCTTTATTGCATCTGTCATCTCCCAGAGACTAAAGAAATAGTTCCCCACCTACAATATTACAGTGGACCTTTTTTGGGGGGGTTCACTTGGTTAAAGCTGAGGACTTAGTGCAATAATTTCAGTCTAGCATCTATTCAATGCATCGTTTTCATAACTAAGGCATTTAGATAAACCAATGTGAATTAACGGCCAACAGCAATCTTAACTTTTGCAAAGGCAACATTTAGAGAAAGGTTTGCTCTCTGAATGGGCTACGGCTCTAAAATTCCCTTGCAGAGGAAAGCTGTTGCCATTTTCTCTGGAATAGAAGAGACTGTCTTGTGGATTTTTAACCCTGATGCCATGTTTCCTAAGTGTTAGGGGTTGAAGTAACGTGGGAAAGGGTGGCTCTTTGTACACCCATGATATCTGATCTTGGAGAAGTGTCGAGTTTTGAAAGTGTATGAAACCTGTGCTCAAAATAAGCCCACATAGCACTTCCAACTGTTATGACACTAGATGTTGTGGCCTGCCAGCAGCCAGAGGAGCTGGTGGCAGACTCAGACAGTGAGGAGTTTGGGGAGGAACATGGGCCAGTCCTGGAGTCTGGGGAAAGTTCTAATGAATGCTCTGCATTGGAGGCAGAGATGGGGCCAAGGCCGTCCAACAGTTATCAGCTGCCTTCAGAGTGGGGCAGAAGAACAGCTGGAGCCTGTTCCCAATGTGCACATGCACAGAATGCCAGGAGAAGGGAACAGGTTAGGAACAAGCGCCGACTCAGGAGTAAAGGTACAGATGGACGGTGAATGGCCCCTCCCATAGGGAATAAAGAGGACCGAAAGGGGAGTTTGCAGGAGACAATTAGTTCAATTCATTAGGGTGAAGATCTGTTCCTGACTTCTTGCCAAGTAATTGCTGCCTGGCAACTCTCCAAGCCTGATAAAGGTCTGTAGTTGTGAAATCTCATGAAAGACTGTTTTCTGGGACTTTGCTGGAGAGGAATTCCTTTTAACCTAAATAAAAGAGGTTTTACCGGAACAAGGAGTCTGCTTCATGGTCTTGGGAAGCCTAGGTCAGAACGTTAGATGGTAGCACTGTCTTCAATATGCCACACAAGGGTGATATAGAGCAGGAGTCCACAACCCCCATCTGCAGCCCGATACCGGGCCACAGCCCATTGGGAATCAAGCCACACAAGCAGTGGGCAAGTGCATGAATGCGCATTTGTGCAAGTGGCATGCATGAAAAACCATCCCTTCTCTCTGATGCCTTTGGAGCCTCCGGTTTGCAGAGTCAGAAAAGTTGGGGACCACTGATATAGAGGCCTAACTTAGTGTCAGATTTACAAAGCTAATTATTATGACTACTTTAAAAACATAATGATGATGTATACCACAGCTAGATTGGAAGGAAATGGGCCTGGTTTTAAAACAGGAGGAAGAGGCATCAATCCTCTTTGCTATGCTGAAGACACTACCTTGATAGCCAAAACTGCAAAAAAATTTGAAAGCTGTACTAATGAAAGTCAAGGAGCAAATTGGAAAAAAAATGGAAGATTAGAACAAAGAAGACCAAACTAAGTACTGTACAGGAACCCTTGTTAAAATTGGCAATGAAGAATCTGATGGATAACTTCTGCCTTTTAGGAAC